CCAATGAATGAATGAACAAGGGAAAGAAGGAAGGAAGGAAAGAAGGAAGGAAAACTTTGGATCCACTTGGCTTCCTGTGACGTCACTGTGTCACCTTGGGCAAATCATTGTACCTCCTCTAAGCCTTGGTTCACCCAGCTAGACAATGACGTATGGCCTAGTAGTCTCAGGGGGCCTTTCCAGCCCAAAGTTGGGGAGCAGGTAGAACTACCTTGAGGGCGGCCAGGGGTGCTTGGAGTGGAGAAAGGCACATGACTGGGGTCTAGAGAACTGGACTCTGTGATCCCTCTACCTTCTTTCAGGTTATGTTAGGTAAGTTGACGCAAGGGCTATGTGCTTGAAGGGGGGCACAGATGGTGTCAGCAGCTACAGAGCAGCAGGAACCACTCTGATCAGTCACAGCAGGGGTCTTCCATGCCTGTGCAGGTGTGAAGTTCCCCATTGCTTAGGTTTCTGATCCTCTTGGGGACCCAGTGACCTCCCCAGACAGAGTTCTTCCCTCCATGGTCCTGCTCACCAGCCGGTCAAGGCTGAGGTCTCAGAGGAATGGCCTGAGGGCCAGATTGGTCCAAGAGCACCCCTAGTGCTTTGTTCTATAAGGGATCCTGGCTTTTGGTTAGACAAAGTACTGTGCATCCTCTTGGCCCCAGTTGTCACCCCCTACTGTCTCACACCTGGCAGCTCTACACATGTGCGCTGCTTCCTGCCCCTGACGGCATCTAGTTAAGAAACTGATCTAGTTCCCTGCCCACGTATGAGCAGGAAACTGGGGTCTGGGAGTACCCAGTGAACTCTGGGTACTCTGACTCCCTGAGATTGGAAGAGTCCTGAGGGCTCACCATCAGATCTGGCAAGTCCTTCCTTGGCAAGACCTTCCTTTATCACCCATGCCCTGTCACCTTCACGTCTTCCTCCTCCTCCCTGTGCCATGGAGGCTCCGTCCTCTCGGCATGGTCTCTGGCTCCTTGCTGCTCTGGGAAGACGGCTTGGCTGTCTCGTCTGTCACTGTTGTGTCCCCTGGCTGGTGTGTAATGATAAGTGTTCCCCACATTGCTGAGGAAAATGAGGCCAAGACCAGACACCCTCCCTGCTGTCACCTCCCTGGGTTGTTCAAGAATGTCCTGCAGTCATCTGAGAGTCCTGCAATTCCACAGCAGCTAGGAGGTGTTCTCCAAATGGGTGGCCTGTCCAGCTGACAGGGACAGGCCTGCCAGAGCGAAGGGGGCAGTGACATCACAGGGCTCCCTCACCCCGCTTCCCTCAGGTCAGACCCGTCAGGCCTGGAGTGCCGAGTTCAAAGAGACCACAGGTGTGTGTACAGGATGTGCCTGTGTGAGCTGCGGGCAGGGCAGGGGCCCAGGCAGGTCCTGGTGTCTGCAAGGAAATATTCTCAGGTCTGAAAGGGAACGGAAGAGAGACAGAGAGGGCCCCAGGGGGTGCGGGTGTGAGGGTGAGAGGAGGAAATTCTTATTTTTCTCAAAGGGAGAATCATGAAGTTGCTTGTAATTTCCTCCCAGAGTGCAAATACTATTTGCTCATGACAACTATTGAAACAATACACAGAGGCATGAGGAAGACGGTGAAGAGCATAAGGTATTCTACCTCTCCAGGATCTTGCTGACAACTGGGAGCCCACTTGGGATCAAGACAACCTGGTACCGACAATGCCTGGAACAATTTCTGTGGGAGTGACAAAACTTAATTTCTCTGTGGCTTAGTTCCTTGATCTGTGAAGGCAAGATGCAGGAACCCTTCTGGCCTCCCTCTCGCTCCTCTGTGACCCTCCTGGCTCTCTTCCTTTTCCTTCCAGCCCTGAGAATACAGCTTTGGGGACACCAAGATGGGGCCCCTACGCCCCCCTCATGGGGTGGGCTCTTTGAACTTGGGATTCCAGGCTGAGTTGGTATTTGTCACTCAGTACCGCTGTGAAGATTAGGCAAGAGAATGCGTGGAGGGGGCTTCCATGTGCTGGCACATGACAAGGGCCTCACCTGTGCCTGCTGGATCACCAACCTGGCTAACAGCATGGGGCCCACAGCATTGCCAGCAGCACCATCAGCATCAGTTTCAAAGACACTAGCATGCCTTCCTCCCTCTTTCCCACCTGTCTGTCTGTCTGTCCATCCTTCCATCTATCCATCCATCCATCCATCCATCCATCCATCCATCCATCTATCCTTCCTTCCTTCCATCCATCCATCCATCCATCCATCCATCCATCCATCCATCCATCCAACCTTCCTTCTCTAATGGAGCATGCCCTTGTGCTCTCTAGGTACCTACTCTATACTCCCCATTATATTACCGGCGAAGTGGACAGGTTCATTCAATAAATGTTGTTAAACACAGTGCCTCAGGTCCTGCTAGTTGGGTTCAGGTATAGCTGGTGGAAGAGCCACCCTGAAAGACTGTTTTGCCTTCCTCTGTGTCTCTAGTCTAAGCCTAGACCTAGCCCTGTGCCTTCATGTATAACACATTTTACAGATGAACAACACCTGCAATCAGATCATCCCAGACAGAGTTGCAAAATAAAAATTCATCAAATTAGTGTTTATGCCAATTCCATTTTGCCCATTTCTTAAGTAGGTAAGAGGTTCTTGGAGGCAGGGAGTGTGGGCCCCTGCTCCTCCAGGAGGTAGGTGGGCCCCTTTTCTATGGCTCTGACCTTGCTGTCTCCCAGACCTGAACAAGGAGATCTGGATATGAGAGGATGGCATGGCAGAGGAGGCATGTCCTGTGATTCTGACACTCTGATGCTCAGGATGGAGGGGACCCATCACCTGCAGCTTCCTGCCTCCACTCCAGCGTCTCATGGTCCACTGGTGGTTGGCGAACCCAACAGAGAATGACCAGGCTCCTGTCCAGAGACCAAGGTCTCCATCTCTCTGATGACCCTACTCTTGTCGCTCAGGCCCCAAAGGCTCCAGTCATCCTTGATTCCCACCCCCTACCCTGTACATCCAATCCCTTAGCAAATATCAGCTCTGTCTTCAGGGATGTGCATAACTCAGCCACCTCTCACCGCTTTGCTGTCACCCCTGGGACTGCGGCACCATCCTCCACACCTGGAAGACTGCAGGACCTCTTGGCACTGACCAACAGCACACACACTTTACCCAGTGAACTTTGCTTATTCACTTATGTGTTTAGGCATCTCCCCCTGGAATGTCAAGGTCATCAGGGCAGGGGTCAGAGTTTCTTTTGCTGGGTCTCTGGCACATAGTAGATGATGCCCAACAAACTCTTGTGAGATGAGTGAATGAAATCCTACAAAGCCCACAGCACTGGCTCAGAACCTGTGGCTCTGAGAAAGGAACTGACGCTCCTCAGTCCAACATTCTGAGCTCCTCCTGGTCACATTCCTTCCTCTCTGGCTGGTCAAGGGTGTGCATGAAGGCTGATTTCTGCCACCTCTGCACCTACAGTCACAGTGCAGTGAGTCAGGTGGACCCTGTGAAGGGCCTATCACTTATGAGCAGTGTGGCCCGAGGCCATTCTCTCAGATGTCAAGTGAGGACATGAGTGATAGTTGCCAGCACTCCTGGAAGGCTTTGTGCTAAGCCTCTCATGCAACACTTGTGTCTTCTCCACACTGACCCAATGCAACAGGTCCTACCGTTACAGCTGCCATCTTATACATGGGGAAACTGAGTCTTGGGGCCTACATAACTTGATGCCCATTGGTGGTTGTAAGAAGCAGAGCCAGGATTTGAACCCAGGCATGCCTGTCATCATCTCTGAAGACAGTTCTTTATGAACCAACCCACCTGCTGCCTGCCTTCCACTTTCCCATCAGCCCATCTATCCACCCATCCACCCACCCATCCATCCACCCACCCATCCACCCATCCATCCATTCTTCCACCCACCTATATATATATATATACATCCACTCTCCCATCCTCCCCTCTCCCATCCATTCATCCACCCACTCTCCCATCCATCCATCCATCCATCCATCCACTCACTCTTCCATCCATCCATCCACCTATCCATCCATCCATCTATCTACTCTCCCATCCATCCATCCATCCATCCATCCATCCATCCATCCACATATCCATCCATCTATCCACTCTCCCATTCATCCATTCTCCCATCCACCCACTCTCCCATCTGTTCATCCACCCACTCTCCCATCCATCCATCCATCCATCCATCCATCCATCCATCCATCCATCCATCCAGTCTTCTCTGGTGGAAACATGCTCATGTGTCATTTAGGAACCCACTTTTCACACTCCCTACTACATTCCCTATGAAAGGGATGGGTTTTTGTCAAGAAATGATATTAAATAACATAACTCAGGTCCTAGTTAATTGGGGCTGGGGAAGGTGAGCTGGAAGAGCCACCTGGTGTCATTTTGCTCTATCCATGGATAAACCTGGTGCCTCTAGGTGCCATGACCTTTGCAGCATTCAGATGTGTTGGCAGTAAGAAAAATCACTCCACAATGAACTTCAAAATCAACAGTAATCAAATAAGTGTCATTTTTGTATTTCCCACCTGGCTCCACAGTGCTTTATGTGCCACCTGACCTCAGCTTAGGAGATATGATCTGTCAACTGCTTAGCTGGCATGGGGCACATAGTCAGCCCTCAGAAATGCTAACTGCGTTGGTGTGGGTTCCACCAGCCAGAGTCGGTGGGCAGCAGCAATGCTACATGTGGGGTGGGGCAGCTGGGGAGCCAGGCTCCACCCTGGGCCCCCAGGGAAGCCCCCTCTTCCACTTGCCAGAGAGGCTAGAGAGCCTCCTCCCTCAGCCTCCAGGATTGACAGCCCAGGAAAGAGGAGGGCTGGGCGTGGAGCCAGGAGGTGGGGAGGAGGCTCAGGCAGGCTGACCAGGTTGCAGGGGGAAATTAAAAGGGAGGAGAAGCGCACCAGCCCGTCAGGACTCACACTCCCTCCTGGTGCCCGGGTGCCCGAGAGGAGCTGAGGAGTTGAGGCGTGCAGCCACTGGGTGCTGGAGCTGTCCTTGGAGGTGGGGAGCAGGGACAGGATGGCCCCAAGGAGAGCCGTGTCGCTGTCCCTGAAGAAGCCTACCTATGCAGTGTGTGTGGTGGGCACTGAGATGCTGGTGAACGTCCACAGGTGAGAGTCACAGGAAGTGCCCGGCTGGCTGCAGAGGGCTGCACTCTAACGGGGGACCTGAGGTGCTGGGGTTCTGTGCCAGGAACCAGTTGGGCTTGTTGGAGGCCGAGGACGTGGTAGGAGGCTGTTGGATAGCAGAGAAGGCAGAGCTGGCTGTGGAGCAGGAGGAAGGGACTTGGTGTCCCAGACTCCGGCTCCTGAGCACTGGGGCTAGCACACGGGCCTCCAGCCCCTGGACGAGGAAGGGCCCAGCCTCAGGGTTTAATTCTGTGACTGTAAGAAGCCAGCGTCAGGCATTGGATGCTGGACTGTGTCCTGACATCTGCAGGGAACTTGTGCGCAGCAGTGGGGCGACCTGTTCGAGGTGAGATGAGCACACGGGCTCCCTTCCATTCCTCCATCTCTCACCAACTCTTCATCTCTCTGTGGTGCATGCCAGCTTGATCCTGGCACCTGGACAGGGGAACTGGGGTGACTGGAATCAGGAGGGAGAGGCCGAGGGAAGACTCAATGACTTAATCTAAGAAGTGAGCCTGGAGCTGGGCCAGACACTTGGGCTTGGCCCAAGACCACGGTGGTGGCGGAGATGTGGAAATGGTGAGAGCTGTGGTCCTGACAACACGGGAGGAGGGCGGCCACGACAGCAGCTTCTCCTGTTGGCCCAAGTCTTCCTGCCCTGGCTCTGTCTAGATGGGAACTTGGGGAACTTGGCTCCGCCTCAGTGTCCTCACCTGGCCACTAAGGGAGCTAGACTTGACCCATTATGGATTCCATTCCTGTTGAACTAGATAGGCTGGACCCTCTGCAGATGCAGGCCCGAGGTGGGGGGTCCCCTCCATGAAGCTCTGGGGGGCCTGTGCCCAGTGGGACTGGAGCTCCCATCGCCCTCTTGGCTCTCAGCCCCTGTACTTGCCAAGCCTGGTGAGGGCTGAGCCCAGCTGTTCACCTGGCCTCAGGCTGAGCCTCGGCCACAGGTGCCTTCCCCTTCCTCCCCTGGGACCTTCACGGGGACGGAAAGCCAGGAAGCTCAGGCCTCAGGGCCAGACCGGGACTCTAAGGCAGTATCAGGGCTATCTGGCCAGAGGAGATGTGGTTTTCTCCTGCCCTTGTGACCCAGCACCATCAGATTTAGTGAGTGAAAATACAGAATGCCTAGTAAAGCTTGAATTTCAGACAAAATAAATAGTGTGTGTGTGTGTGTGTGTGTGTGTGTGCGCACACATGTGGTGCTGGAGACCGAAGCTAGGGGCAGTGTAAGCAGACATCCCAAACTGTACCTGGGGATCCTATATTATCACCCAGCACAGAGTAAGTGTCCTCGGGGTCCCACTTGCCTGATTCCAGGTCCTGCTCTCGTCCAAGACTGTGGTAGTTTCTGGAACGTACTTTGAGGATCTCAGGCCCTTTGCCATGTGGCTGGCTGAAGCCCACAGCTCTGATGGGGAGCTAGGAAATCTCAGTTCTGGTTTGAGTTCCGTCACTGGCTCACTGCCAAGTCCGTGGCCCTCTGGGCTGTACTTCTGATCCCTAAGAGATGAGCTGGGTCCCCTTTGTGGCTCAGCGTGGCGGTAAAGCCCCAGGCTCTGGAGTTGGACTGATTCACCTTTTCATTGTGCATGCCAGGCTGTGTGGCCTTGGGCAAGCTGCTGCCCTTCTCTGAGCCTGTTTCTGCCTGTGGAAAGTGGGGAGTAATAGCGCCGACCTTAAGGGATCTGGGCAAGAAGAGAGATTACACATGTATAGGGCCTGTTGGTGATGGGTGCCCTGGCAAGGGACGTTCTCCCAGCTCTGAGGGCTCAGGGCTGTCCCGGGTTCCTCTCCTGCAGGTCTGTTCTTTCTATATCACTCCTCGGAAATGGCAGGGGACAAGGACAGGGCAGGGCGTGTGTGTTAGGAGCACAGAGGTCACTGTGCAAATCTCCCTCATGGACACCAAAGTCCTCAGCACCTTGCAGAGCCCCCGGGCCAGTTGAGGACTCAGGAAGCAGCTTGTGTGGTGGCAGTGCAGCGGCGGTTCTCTGCCTGAGTCCGCAGCCAGAGCTGGGGTTTACTCTGCAGCGCTTGGGAGCCGCCCCCTGCTGGTGAGGGGTGTGCTTCATGGACACAGGACCAGGAGCTGGGCAGGCTCCGAGGAGCCTGAAGCGATGGCTCTGCTCGGTGATGGCCGATGAACTCAGGGCACCCCCACCCGTTTGCCAGGTGCCTGGCTCCAACCGAAGCCGAGCAAGGGGTTTCTAATTGGCCTTGCTGGTAGGAGCAGGGAAGCGGCCCAAAGGGGTGTGCAGGTCCCCTGAGCTGCCTGGACCCTGCGCCTTCTGGGAGACAGGTGCATGAGTTAACATCACAGGAAGTGACTCACCCCCTGGGGGCCACATGGCCTGGTGATTTGGAGAGATATTTGTGTTTGGGATAATTGTGCGGCCGGAGGTAACCCAGCCTAAGGAAGACTTGGGGCTCCCCTGATTCAGTGTATGCTACAGATTCTACTCCCATCACTCTGACCCTATACCCCAATGGGCTAGCTCCCCACTCTGAGCCTCTCCAATGGGCTAACTCCCCATCCTGAGTCCTCAACACCCCCCAGTGCTTCTTTCACTGGCTACCTCACTACCCCATTCCTTCTCCCAGTGGGCTAGCTCTCCACCCTGGGCCTCTCTCTCCAGTGGGCAAGCCCTCCACTCTGGCTCCCTGGATATTTTTTTTTTTTTTTTTTTTTTTTTTTTGGTGGAACCAGGGATTGAACTCAGGCCCTTGTGCTTGCCAAGCGCTTATTCTACTGAGCCATCTCCCTGGCCCCAAAACATGGCCACCTTTTATTATTATTATTATTTTATTTTATTTTTTATGGTACCAGTGGTCAAATTGAGGACGTTGACATCCTCCAGGAACCCTGGATTTTGTTAGATTGTCCTGGATGACTCTGTTCTTCCTGGGGTACTTCAAGTGGCCCCCAGAGGCTCAGGTCAATAAAGCAGGGCTGAGCACCATGGGAAATCCATTGCTGGTCTTGCATGCCCCCCCCCACCTGTTCAGAGCCCTGATTCAGGGCTCAAGGCTGGAAGCTGTGATGAATATTTGCTCTTCGGGGAAGAGGGGGCTGGCAGGGCAGGTGCTACGTCTTCCTCCTGCGTCTCTCCCAGGTCTTTCTCAGCCTGAAAAAAACACTAAGACACAACAGACTCCAGCGTGGAGAGTGGTGAAGATGGGGAACACAGGGACGGGGTGCCAGGGGGCCCTACTCAAGTCTCCCAGGGCCCCCCTGTTTTTTACAAACTGAGAACGGCACAGCAGAGATGTACAGCGCTTCCCTACTGTTTACATGGAGTAAATGAGCGATTTGCATGCAGAGCTACAATGATGACCCTTAATTGGGCTCCTCTGGAGATAATTATAGGAATTACAGGACTGGTGCTGACACTAATTCCTAATTCCCAGTGAGTGACAGACCGAGCAGCCTTGGCGCCAGGCTGGGACACCCTTTCCCCTTGCTCCATCCTGTGGTCAGAAGGTCATCTACATTTGGCAGCCCTGTTCCCAGCCAAAGTTTGAGGGCTCCTGGACAGCAGGAGGCTGGATGGGAACACCTCGGCTTCCACCTGCACAAGGCCCCCGGGTGTTGAATCTGGGTGTTCTCGGGATAGAAGATACGGGCACCAGGCAGGGGCTCAGAAGTTGGCACCTCGATGCCACAGGATGCCCCTGCTTCCCTGTGGCTTCCCATGCCAGTCTGTGGGTATCCCTTCATTTTGCCACCCCCTCCTCCTGTGGCCCTAGTCCCAGCCCCTTCCCATCCTTTTTGAACCAGATTCCCTGATCAGCCAGACAGCTCTTTGGCCCCTAGTAGGACAGTCCAGGTGCTAGGAGGGGCCTGCAGCCTCCTCCGATCCTGTCCCCTCCGCCACTCTCACTCTTCTCTGGGGCCACACATCTCTGTCAAGTCTTCCCTCCTAGAGAGGAGGCTGTGAGGAACTGCAAAGCCACACGGCCCTGGGGGAGCCCTAGCTGGGAGCAGAAAAGGCCGGTCCCAAAGGCCCCCACTCCAGGGTGCCCAGGACCCTGGGCCGGTGCTGAGGAGACTGCGCTTCCACTCATAGTGGCCCCAGAGCAGAGACCTTAGTCCCTGTGCGCAAGAGTCAGGGCCACCTGCAGCCCTGCTAGCAAGCACCTCCCTGTTCTTGTCGCCACAGTCCTGGTCACAGTCATGACCCTGCTGTGGGCCCTGTCCTTATCCCCTCAACCATAACTCTGGGTCTCTGGCCTGTGCTGGGTGAAGTGGGCACACAGGGCAGCAGTGGGCTAAGCCTGCCTGGCATCAAATTTTCTGGGCAAAATAAATCATAGGCTGGGGCATTTGGTCCCCAGGGAGGAGGAAGGCAGGCTTTCCCAGAGAGGCACCCCCGACAGAGTTCCACGACAGCCAACGTGAGGGTTGCTGCGAGCAGGAAGGATAACTCGTGGTCGTGACCTTGGGTTGGGATCAGGCTGGTCCGTGCAGGCTGTGTGACCTTGGGCCAGTCACTTAACCTCTCTGAACCTGTTTTCTCCCACGCTAGGTGGGGATGACATCACCTATTGTTTGTACCTGTGAAGCCGGCACCTTTATTTTCCCCACAGATGAGGAATTTCATAATCCACAGAACACAGGTGTGCTCTGGGGAGGCGAGAAGTGATTCATTCATACAGCTGGCTCTAAACTTGTGGTCATTTCTCTCAGGAGGTCCTGGTCTCTAGCCCCTCTCTGACTCTGCTGGGAAGGCCAGCGAGGGACAGCTGTCCCCTTGGGCCCCATGCTTGGGTGGGCAGGGTTCATTGGAAGGAAGGCCTGGCCAGCTGGGCCCTTCTCCTGGGCTCTCTGGGTGTGACTTTGAGAAGTGGCAGTGCACAAAGCACTCATGATCAATTGATTGGCATCTCATGATCGATTGATTGGCATCTCATGATCAATTGATTGGCATTGATTGGCACACAACCATATCCTGTGTGATGCAATACTTCTGAGA